TTGCGGATGTAGTTATACATTCGAGGGCCGCACTGCGTTTCTGTGAGGGTACTGAGTATGGAGTCATGCGAGACGTTATCAAAGGCTTTGTAGATGTCCAGGCCTAGGGGTGAGCGGAGTTGTGTGGTACTTTTGTCTTGGAGGAGGTCATTGTTTAGCCGATGGAGACCCGGGTAGGAGAAACGCGGGTTTTATGTGCGACCGTTCTAACCGTCTCAAAAGAGAGAACGCGCGAGCTTTCGCTGGTTTAAAAAAGGCATCAAAAGAAAAGAGGCGGCACGCTGTGTTCTTTGTGTTTATGCGTCTAATTGCAAATTGTTGTGTGTATGTTTATACAGCCGGAAGTTAGTCCGCCTCATCGGGTGTCTGGTGTCTCAGCTGTAGATGAGCAATTTAGCCGGTGCCGTACAACCGCAAACCTGGGGTCTTTAACGTGCACCACGCAGTAGGGATACACGACCGCACGCCGGTACGATGCTCTTCCAGATCGAAGCGGGCAGGGGCGGGGAGGGTTCTGCAGTGCTCTGAGCTGGTGTGCGCTAGACCATGCACTCGGCCAACGACCCCCCCCCCCCCCTTGTGCGTCTAATTTATATACAGGTATAAGTATTTAAAGATCGACGATGGACGTCGATCGTCTCGAGGTAATTTAATGTAATAACATTATATAAATAATGAGTTTGTTGAAGGACTGAATGACTGAATTTTTCAATTCTTGGATTGTAATATGGCGGTAGCCTATTGTACTTACTGTTGATGAAGAGCGATATAAGGTGACGAGGTAATGATTAAATGATGAGGCTCTATAAGGACGACGACATTAGTGGGTGTCGAACCACAACGTACAGTGCCAGACTTGTTTCAAGTATCGTGTACCCAAAGACTTTCTTCATCCTTAGCAGAATATGGTAGAATCAATGAGGATGCTGCTTTACAACTGTACGTGGAACAGGAAAACCGCACTGTGCAGAAGTGCGGCTTATTTGTTAATATGAGTGACGGAGTTCTAGCAGCATTCCCTGATTGACAACTTGGAACAAATGGCCTCGTTGACGTAAAGTGTCCCCGTTCCAAAAGATTCTTGAAGCATACTTAAACCGCAAAGGAGTGTGAGGCGAAAAATAAGAAAAAGGAGCCTGGTGTGAAAGGTCCAAATCACCACCATAGATTCTACTACCAAATACAAAGACAGTTACACAATACACAATGAGAGTTTTGTGATTTAGTTATATTTACACTCATGGGCATTGATATCCGAAGTATCCAGAGGGATGACACCTTCTGGTCAATCAACATAGAGCCTTTTCTACTCAGGTTTTACATGGAAGGCCCCACTTCCGCTGAAATTCCTCACGTAGACGAGTTGTTTGACCGAATAAACTGCCATCACTTCCCGATCTGGGAATCTCTCGATCTTCGTTCGTAGGCCATAGTGTCATCAGATCAAGGGCTGTGGCTCTTCGACCGCCGAATATTGCTTCCGTGGGTGTTTTACCGTGTAATATGAGACCGTCGCGTGCTGCTGGAACAAGAACCTGGCGATTCTTCACTGAACTGCTTCTTCCGTAAGCTTCAAAAGGGCTCTTTTTTCGTTTCCCACACCCTCTGTTCTGCTTGCCCGTTAGTTGCAGGATGGTATGGTGCACTAATGTGATGCCTGGTGCAGTTTTGTTCTTTTGTTCTTTTTTTCTTCAAAAACTTGTTTATTTTATTTGAAGCATGATTTGATGCGTTATCAGAGAAAAGTATTTTCGGTAGGGCAAAAGTAAGTAAAAGAGATCGTAGAACGTCAATGGCGTGTTTGGACGTCGTGGCAGGCATCGTGTAAACTTCCAGCCACTTAAAGTACGCATCGACCATGACTCCGCAGATGCGGATACGTTTCGCCACCCACCGACTGAATAGTGGATCGATTTCAGTTACTGTTCATGATGGCGTTGGACTCAACGAAGACTTCGAGTCTTTCCAGAAAGTTTCTGGGAACTATATCGTAACAACCTTTACAACATCTTCCGGACCCCGTGAAACACAATAGTTCGTGACGTTATTTTAGTCGTCATTAAAATGGTGAGGTAAGTACCGTAAATCCCGAAGCAGTTTAGTTGACGTCCGCTTCCACTGGTGTCTTGGAAGATTGAGTCTACTGAGCGTGCATTCCTGCAGAAGAAATTTTCATTGATAGAATATTAACACGTCAATCAACATTTGATTCCTTCTTGGTAAGATTTATTGCGAAAGCCCGTTACAACCGCCGAACCGCATCTTCCTATATCAGAGAACAATTTATACCCAGCCTGACATTCTCGGATACATCCGTTTGATGGGCCACGCTACTTGAGCTAGCTGAGCACAGCTGGCAGCGGCGCGAGCAAGGCCACGAGGGGAACGTGATGGTGCTCGAGCCATCCCACTGTGAACCAATGTTTCGGCCACCCCACGGGTGCGTGTCGCCATCTTTTGGTTGAACTAACGCCTTGTTCAAGATGGCTGCCGTGGGACCGCAGCCTTAAATGGACCTTTCTGGAAAGTAGCGCGCGCCTTTGAGTGGCACGTGTGATTCGTTAGGGGTACAATGACGGTCGCTGCTCCTTCGTCTGCTGCTACCGCCGTACCGCCTGCGAGAACCACTTTGAATACGTTCGCGTTCGGCCCCCGTGTACAGCAGGCGACAATCTTTGCAGCGCCCACTGCTGCATTGCGTTGATCACATGAGAGATCCATGAATAAAAATAAGAATGCGCGGGCGGAGGGGTATGGGGACGAGAGCAGATATGCTCGCGGACAACTTTCTGTGGCTATACAGGCAAAGCTATGGGCGCAAGTGAGCTTGCCGACCTTGAGCACCCAACAGCGTTACGCGCCCATCAAAGCTGTGCACGCGAAATTTTCTCTTCTTCTGATGTGACAGAAAGTGGTCCACATGTACTGAGTCGCGGTCGCAACGAGGAGTGCCGTTGTGGCGCTGCTGCCAGCTTACAGATTGTGCCCTGGCAGTATTGCCACAGAGGCACGAGGCGTCGGTTCATCTTCGGCCGCTGGGAGAAGCGAATTATCTCCACGCCTCTCCATCTAGCCAACCACAGCATACCGTAGCTTTTAGCTTGCATGTAGCAGAGGCTCGTGCTTTTGCTTTGACATGACCCATAAATAATCCACGGATTATTTTTGGGTCATGCGTGATAGCGAACTGTTCTGCTGCTCCAGAGGAACCAAACACTAATTTAAAACTCTCCGGCTTCCTCTATCTAAATCTGCATACTGCTACAAATTTTATTGTTATTTTTAATCTGCAGGTGTATAAACACCGCACGCGCCCGCCGTGTGGTTTTTTACGGCGGAGCTTTTAAGGGTTAGGTTCCCCGGGATCGTGTCCGTGTATGTCGACAAAAACCTACCTGGAACAGCTACCGCCATCTATAAGCGACGGCGGCAAGCACACAACATGTATGGTTTCTGCCGTCGCTCGTAGATGGCGGCAACCTTTCCATCTTTACAGCTATAATAGAAGAATGGATAGTTGGGCGCGTTGGTGGGAATTTATCGTAGGAAACAGCGCGAAAAACAGACGAAGACGAAGAAGAAGCACACAGTATATCTAATGGCGAATTCGGGTGGTCAATCGCCGGCGAGCTCACGCCGGCGGCACAGGCAACGAAAACCGCGCCAGCGGCGCACCACGTGACCCTCTCCACCCGAACACAAAGCGCCTGCAACTGGCGTTTTCGTCTGCCTGGGTCGCTCGTGAACTTCGTTAACTTCTTCCACGATTATTTTATGATACAATAGGCACGCTCTAGGCATCAGCAACATCTGTTCTCTCTGAGACGTGGGTAAACAAATAGTAATATATTTTGTTTAGATTCTCGAGGAACTGTTGCCATCTTACAAGGATCCTAGAAGGCTCACCAGCGTCGCCATTTTATATTCCATTTTCTTGTTATTACCTTTTTGCTGGAATCCTCAGCATTTTGATTTGACCCAGCCCTCTAAAACAGTAATGCGCGTTCAAGTGTCGAGCTGCAGCACTATCAATACATTTTTTACAGCGGTGTAATAACACGCTGTGTCCCATAGGAAATTGATCTTGCGGAAGCTTCCTTTAAAATATTTTATCTTTATCTCCGTTGTTTTTGCTGTCTTTCTCGGACCACAGAGGGGTGTCTGTCTCAGTGGCTTCGTATTCTACTAGAACACGCTCTCGGCGACCATTGTTTCGTTTGGTTCCCTTTCCCGATTCGGATATGACGATACCGGATACAGTCTGGCAGACAAGCTGCCCGACCTCTTGGAGCTCGGGCAAAAATTGTGCCGGTAAATTGCCAGCACACGCCTGAGAACTGCCACCCGAACGGCGCGCACTCGCCAGCCTTTGACCACGCGAACGCCCTTGGCGGAGATATGGCAAAATATTTTGCCGGGAAATGACCACGCGAATTCGCCATTAAGCCCCTCGATGTGTTTGCGTTTGAATTGCAAGTAGCGTCAAATGCGCGAGTGCACGAGACCCGCGTCTCGAGCGGCCCTTGGAAGCGAATGGCGGCGCAGCACTGAAATGAGCGGCCCTAGGAAGCGAATGGCGGCGGAGCACCCGCTCGTGGCACGTGTCTCGCGCGGTTTCACAACAATGGTTGGCGGTACTTGTAAAAAACACCTTTATCAAGGGGCTTTAAGTATATCGAGAACAACTTCGCTGGTCTTCCTTCTTCACGAGAGTGGAAAGGCTATTTTTTTTTTCTTTTTCGATTCTCGAACATTAGGTTTTAAATAATTCGAAAGATGAAATCATTATTCTTATATTTGTCTAATGACAGTTTCATCGATCACTTCTCCCACGTTATATTAAAAAACGTCGAAGACGCAGACCCCGCTTTTTACCTGTTCGTCAGACTAAAGAAAAAGAAGGGACCCAACCACCGCATCATACCTCGCGTGCTTTTGTTCCAAGCTAGACATTCTATTCTACCCCCTGTTAGACAAGAGCCAACGGACGAACAGTGAAGATGGACGAAGATCAACAGCGAATGACGCTGAAAAAGTGTTGCTCAGAGGGCCTGCTTCCAGAAAACTACCTGGACCTCATCAAGCAAATTGCTACAAAATTTTCTGTGGCCTATGACGATAAGAGTGAGTCGGCATCTTGAAGTATTTTCGCATACATTTTCGGCAGTGTCAGGCAGCTGTACCTTTGCCGTTCCAGACGGGCTGTGCATGGAGAGTACGACACGCAATTGTATTTATATTGGCGTCCTAATCGCAACCGCATGCCCAATCAATCTGAGTTTCGGAACGAAGGCGTGTGAACTGAATTGGATCGTCAAACGACCATTTTCGCAACCGCTTCGCAAATTCGGTTCAAGCGTCAGTGTGATTTAAACGTAACACGCTCCAGAAAACACCCTTTCAAAACAAAAGGAAACACGAACTTCGAAGACTTTCAAGAAAATAAGCACACCACTATATTTCAGACAAAATATGAATGTGGTCGAACATGGTATAAATACTTTAAAGGGGCGGTGCAACGATATTCAATTGGAATGTTTTTCATTTTACACGAGCTTACTGGCATTACTGGGACTCAAGGATATTCGCACGCAACGCCACTGGCCGAGAAACTCCTTCGTTGCGGTGTAATATGAAGGACCAAGGCTAGCGTTTTCATTCAATCTCTCCTTCACAAAACTTAATGACGTAGCTCGGCGGTCGGAGTTCCGCCGAGTGACGCTATTTGAATGCAGCTCATAGATTGGACCCGAGCACCGCGTGAACACTCGACTTGGGCTCGTGATAATTGATAGCTCGAGAAGCATTCGGGTAGTGGCCCGTGTCCAATTGCTGCAGAGACAATAGCCGAACCATAACAATGCTTGGAACTCAGCGCATGTCCTGTGCCTTGCCAACCCCAGCGCGTGGCCATGATCAACATCGGCGGCATATAATCGGCTCCAGATCACGTGGCCGCTTGTTCTGGCAGCGAGTTGAGAAGGTGAACGCTGCTCGTTTTTCTTTAATTTTTTCTGCGACTTGGATTGCGTGTGGTGAAATACGAACGGGTGTTTCACATGTCATTAACGCCAGGAATCCGTTATAAGCGGTAGTCGCGCAAAGTACAAGAATCGCTGCATCGCCCCTTTAAAGCGAACCCATCCTGAAGCATCAGAGCGACAGACGATGGCTTGTTAAGAGCCTGAAGCTGTCAAAATATCTCCAATGAAACACTACTAAACGGGCGAAATATCTGCCGGTTATTCAAGCATGGTCATTAAGCTGAAAATACTAACCGGCAGAATGGCTATTTAACAGGTAGTTATAACACCGCAAAAAGGCCGGAAGTCAGCGGGGCAACATTACGTGGTACTGATGACGTTTAGAGAAATGTGAGTACCAACATGATATTTAATTACAAAACGTTTTGGAAAGAGTATTTCCTTCTTCAAGTGTTTACTTGAAGAAGGAAATACTCTTTCCGAAAAGTAGTGTTATTTAATTATCTGATGGTATTAAAATTTTTCTGAAAGTCTTTAATTTATTGATGAAAAATATTTTGGAACGCATTACGTGGTACCGATGATGAGATGTTGTATATAGCTACATAAGCTGAGACGACTCGACGCATGGCCGGGATAGTACGGGTTTACGTATACTTGCCGATTAGGCCTTTAACGGCTGAGACCAACGAGGCCTTAGTCCGTCCCAACATCACAAAGATGCAGCAAGGAAACGGTCAGTCTAATACGATGAAGGGGCCGGGGGAGCGATGGGTTTTCGGCAATCCCTGGGCCTGTTCGATTCGATCAGAAAGTTCTGAACTAGATCAGTCCGAGTTCAGAGTAGGGCAGGAGTCGTGGAGCGACGGCGCAGAGCCAGTGTAGCTACCGCGTTAAGACTGGAGCTGTGATCGACTTCCGGGGCGGAAGCGCAGGGTGGCATCTGCATCTGTTAGTTTTTGTTTCTCAGAGCCATGTCGTATACTACATTTATACTTCGCGACTTGATAGGATCATTCGCGCAGTGAACGTTTCTGAAAAAAAAAAAATTTTGAAGACGAAGTGCGGTTCTCTTTGCATGTTTAACTTCTTCCGCTTTCTATCGTTTTCAAAAGCATTCGCGTTCTTCGACCGCGTGCGCCAGAATAGCATTTGCATTCGTTTTGGAAAGGATTAATTCCAAGTGCCTCGAGTTTCGCATTTTGATTACAGGTTCGCGGCATTATGATGATTTCGTGTCGGTAATTACTAGCGGCAGCGGTCTTCAAAAACGAAGGCCGGACCAGGGTGTCTGTCGCCTTGGCCAAAAAGTTATCGACCGACGTTTCGACGTTTACTTGAAGTCTTTGTTCTGACTCACAAAAAAAGATTCACGTGGAATTAACTGAAAACCAGTACCACTTCTCGGCATTTTCTTCCAATGACCCGTTAGTGAGCGATCATGGATACCAACAAAGTGTGCTATATATTATGCTCAGCTACGTGGACACGCCACTATATCGCAGACCCCTGTCATGAATCGGAGCCGCCAATTCAAGTAATGCTGAAGGCGGGGATATTACGAGTGTAATTATTTTTCCGTGTCTTTCAATATCAATATCAACATAGTAAATATCCACGTAGCATCAAAAAGAAACAATTGATGTGCGCCAACCTTTCAAAGCTTACCGCAAGTGGGTCCAAGCTACAGAAGCAGGTAAATAAAACATTTTCAACATATATTCGCGCTCAATCCTACCCTTCGTCATAACCGCGCTTCCGCGTCCGACACGGGTACATTATTTTCACCAATGAGAGGAAGTGTAATCTTCGTCTCGGCGTCAAAGATCACAGAATGGCATTGCGAGCAGAGACAGACGGAGAGCGTCATTTGCTCTCGTCGTCTGCTTTTGTCGTCTGCTTCTGCCCGAATGCTGAACTGACTGCGGAGCCGGTGCAAGGTCTTGAAGAACTGGGCCTGAACTCGTTCAGGACTGCATGGGATAAATCGAACGCGTAGGTGCAGCGGCTGTGCGACTTTCATTTGAAGTGAATGTGCTAGTTCCTGCGCTGCTGAACTAGTTCAGCCAGTTCGGCCAGCTACGGAGGCCAATGAGAAGACTTTTGAATCAGAATGATCACAGATGACCTCGAATCAAAATCGAAATCGCAGGAACGACGAGTTTGACCTTTCACTTGCTCAGTGTACCTGACTACATCCGCATTTTTTTTTTTTCAGTCGTAATCGTATCTAGGGTTTTGTCATTCGCAGGGATCCTTCCATTGTTTGCCGTAATTGTATAGGCCCGTGTTCTGCAGGAAAGTGAACTCACATAGTTTTTTTTTCTATAGTGGCTGACAGCATAAAGGCGCAGGGTGTGGCCTATTACGTGAACACGGTTGTTGAGACATGATTCGTTCTTCGACGTTCTTATTAGCTAATGCCGTATTGCGATTGGCTATGGAGTGGTACTGAGATGCATGTAACTCGCCACGTACTTCCAAAGCACGGGATGTGATTACTCCTACCACCGCTCGTACCGCCACGCAGGAGAACTCGTCGCGAGCCTAGCCGAGATCAGCGTGACGGAAGACATCCTGTACCTGGGACTGCTGTCCATGAACCACACGCAGCACGGATGGCACCATATCCTCCAGCTGTGTAAGGACACCATCGCCAAACAGTCGGTGCGCAACGTGTTCGCCCGGATCAGCGAGGAGATGGAGCGGGAGTGTCGCATCACCGAGCTCCTGCCCATCCGGAGCGACTGGATGCTCGTCAAGACGGTCGCCACGAAGATAGCGGCCAATCGCCTCGTGGCTCGTATCCCGGGGGTGACCCTGCACGACATGAGGCCCGATGACCTAAACGAACTGGTCACCTACGATGAGCTCATCATGAACTGCAAGCGACACACTTACCTGAATGTAGGTACTTCGTTACTTCCAATTATTGATTGATATAGGTTGTATCGTAAAACGAGAAAATAGAAAAGGTTCAAACGAAAAATATGTATAGTCGATGTCACCTCTAAAAAACCAAAGTTTTACGGATTGTTCATAATCTACGTGAAAAAGTTCTTGTTGGAACTATTTCGGGATGATATACGTCTTTGTAAGTAACAGCGTGTTGGTGTATACCTCGGCAGCTGATGACCAAGGACGTCAATAGCTACACCAAGTTCGCCAAGGAGAACGGTGCCGTGTGCGGGTTTTTGGTGATGCAGCAGCTCAAGGACGGCACGGCTCTCGCCCTGCACCTGGTGGCCAACGACCGGCACGTTGCCAAGCTCCTGCTGAAGAAGTGCCAAGACGAGTTCGCACCGGCCCAGAAGGGGATCGTCCTCGTCGTCCCCTGCACCCAGGACCAGGAGCACGCATCCGTGAACTTCGTCGAAGACCTGCAAGTCCACGGAGACAAGATCTTCTGCCTGTTGTTCTCGCGGTTCGCCATCTATTACATGTACAACAAGATCTTCTCTTTCGGGGACTTTATGTGAAAAGGTCACGTGACAAAGGCCCTTCTGGCATCACTTAAAATAAGATTTCCTTTTTTTCTGGGTGGGGGCTGGGCACGAGGCATTGCAAATAATAAAGAAAACGCAGAATACTTTGTGTTGCTACTCAACATATATTAGAATTCACCTTAAGAAAAGGAAGACATAATCGCGAAGAAGTTGTGTGTTGTCCCTCTTTCTACGTGTGTCTATATTTTTTCCATGTCTCAGGTTCAGTAGTGTCAATATTCGCCAGCTTGCCTGCACACTCACACTTCTTTCACTAACACGGACGCTCAATTTTAGTTGTAAAATTTCGAAAATATTGTCTGCCCTGTTTTTCTCTTATCACTTCCAGTAAAAAATTTGTTTACTTGATCGTCAGACGTCTAGGGCCAATAGACTACTCCCATGAGTGCGTCACAGCGCGCGTTGCATTCTGGGAACCTGTGGCCAGGAGCGGAGCGCGTATGGATTTCGCTGCCCACTGATTCCCACAATGCTTAATGTGGCATTACGCCGCAATGAGCCTCTTCGAGTTTTGGAGTGAGTCTATTACGTAGTGCCAATATACCGAATGGCGACTATGATCCTTAATTATTCTACCCTCCTCACCATGAAGTCTCATGGCAAGAGAGGAGAGAGTCGAAAAAAATGCCCATTGTAGTTTTTTTTTTTTTTTTTTTTTTGTTAAAGGTTGGTAACTGTATTTCTCTTTGGTCTTAGAAATATTTCTATCTTATGGGAATCATGAATAATCCGCGCATTATTTGCACTTACCAAGTTCTTTTGTTTGTTTTTTGTTTTCGAAAATTATTAGTTTCTTAACTTTTCGTAAGAGACGAAGAGAACGCCCGCCCGTTCCGGAAACTCCAGCTCTGCAGCATTTGTCATTCGCCTAGCATTTCCCTTTCTCCTTACTATGTGATCTTAATTGTACAAGGCAACTTGGAATTGGAATACCTTTCCTGCTATGAAGGTACTTCCTTCATATAACATATGTGGGGATCGCCGCCACTAAATTCACTGGATCCTGGGAAAGTAGCCCCATTGTGTATGTTTATACAACCCCAACTTAGTCTGCCTCAACGGGCGACTTCTCTCTCAGCCGGGCCCCGTGCACCCCCCCCCCCCCCCCCCCTGGCTGTGTGCCTGCTTTGAAGCTTGCTTTTTAGTGCGCACCCCGCGGTCAAGGTATCACTCTGAAGCGCGCTTAAAAGCATGCCTCAAAGGCTCCGGTATTGCGGAATGTGGAACACGGCAACGGTTTGCAGAGAGTCCTTAAAAACTATCTTTCACATGGATTTTTTTTTTGCTTAATTTAGCCGTTTTGTAACTAAGAAGAAAAATCTTCCAGATAATTTGGCATAAGATACGCGCATCACCGACAGTGTTCATTACAGCATCTTCAATCTTTTTTACGGGAAAGTGCTGCATCCCAAGCTCAGAACTGTGGGCGCCGAAGTGTTTGCAGCGCATTGGTGCCTCACTTCAACACAACACTTTGCAACATACTCATATATTTAGGGTTTTTCGTTTTCGGGTAAAACCTGACATTACCAGATTTTTGCAAAACGAACAGTTTCTTTTATAAAAATCGGATTAAGCCCAATTTCTCGCAGAATAGTGGTCTTGAAGTCAGCTGGATTTATGGAGAATAAGACCACATCTGGATCTGTTTCAGAACTGCTTCCTCGGACACTCGTTTGATCGTAACAAAACTCTTCGATTTGAGTTACCTCAGCATTTATTCTCTTCAGAATGAGACTGAAGGCGGAAATATCCTGTAAGATCGAGCATTACTGCTATATCATATACTTCGTTGACTTTTGTTCGTGTAAATACCACATTTCAGATACTTGCCCTTCATAAACAAAACACTAGAAAACCCGATTTTCTAAGGGCTTCAAAAAGACCCGATTTCTCCCCGATAATCAGCCTGAAAAATAAGGCCCCATTTTTACCCCCCCCCCCCCCCCCCCCCCCGATTTTCGAGAAATATAAAACCCGAAAACGAAGAAACCTACATATATTTCAATATGTATAGAATTTGGTAGACATACGGCAACGCATAGACTTCTTTTTTTCTTCGGTCATATATTTAATGATGCCCTCGACGACTTTGGCCTGCAAATGATGACATCAAAATGTCACCATTTGCAACTACTCTCGTCAAAAGTGACTGAGCAAGATGCCGCTGTGCGGTATAGACGCTTTGCAGCATCTGTGCATGGACGCCGCCATAACTGACCTTCAGTTTTTGTTTACTCTTATTTCGTTTATTTCACTTCATCATTACCATAGCAGGCCAGGTTATTGCCACATTAGATTCAACTGTGTCCTTTTCTAAAGCATCGGCCTTTGTAGAGGATCGTCAACTACCGTTTCAGTTGCTCGGCATCTCGGTAAGACAAGAGAAGGTCAGCAATGGCGGCTGTAATTTGGCGCGTGTGTAAAGCGTCTATAGCATTCCCTGTAGCAATCATTGTACCTTTGGCCAGCCCTTCCTCATGCAACATATGACCCATATATACTAACACTAGAGGAAAAGGTCCTCCATTTTTCCATGCATTCTGGCTGGCGCAAGCGGCGGAGCACGGGGGCAGACCTTCTGAGTCCCGCACATAATTACCAAGTAACTTAACGCCTTTTCGCTAGATTTAAGTGCTTTCCTAAGGACCAATCCACGCACTTACCGGCGGAAAGATGTTGGCGTTCCTTTCAAAGCTTTCTTTTTGCATTGCGAGCCGGTGTACTGCATCGCGTCAACGCAAAACTAAACCATACAAGCGGCTTCACGCTATGGTTGCCTTAGTTTTGAAAGACGCGCCGCGCAATACAAAACCGCATTACCACCAGATTTCCGAGATTTCGACAGAAGGGAAGTTAATGCAGCGTAATAAGTATAGTGCTTGTTATAAGCGTTAGGTTACATCAGACTTTAGTTTACAACATTAAATTATCACTGTTCATTTTGTTGAGAGTTTTCAGTCTTCGCGATTACCATTGCGACTGTCGTCCTTCAGCTGGCAGGCAACGTTGGTTTCTTTCTCTCGTGTCCTGTCGCGCTCTTCGGCGATCTCTCACTCAGGACCCCAGATGTCGACGCGCAGGATTTGCCACTCCTCCTCACCCACTTTTACAGCCCTTCATAAACACGAAGATTCCCGCCGAGGACCAGAAAGAGGTTTCGCCACAAACCCAAAAACTACACGAAGGCGCTACCAGACAAGTGCTGCCATCTCTCGCACATCTGTAGAACTTACGATATCGATATTTGTATTGATCGCGCTCGTCAGTTCTGCAGCCAACAGATGGTGCTGCATGTATGGCAGTGTTAAAGGGACGAAGTGTTCTACTGGCATAAGTTATGTTGAAGTACCTTCGCTCAATTCTGAACGATTATTTTTTTTAGAGTGACGTCTTACTTTTGCCTTACTTTTTGCCTATCGTATCATACAGGGAATGGTAATTCAAAATGTACTAAAGAGCCGTGAAACTATGTACGAATAAAACTATTATTATTAGTAGTAGTAGTAGTAGTAGTAGTAGTAGTAGTAGTAGTAGTAGTAGTATAAAAAAAGCATCCGGACTCGGATGTTCGTTTTTAGCGTGGCGAGGCATTTTCGAAACGTTTAATGATTTCGTCGAATTAAGACTTTTTTCGACGTCCTTCTACCTACCTAAGACGAAGACAGTGCCTGTGGCAGTCGCTCAACACCCTTCCGATATACGCAGTGGCGTCACTAGGGTCAGCGGCACCCCGAGGCGGTGGCCCGCGGCTACACCCCCCTCCCCCCTCCACCGCTCGTTGCCCGCCTCCCCCGGCTCGTCGCCCGCCGCGACACCCCCCGGAGCGCTGCGCCCGGGACGGTCCGCCCCCCCCCCCCCCCCCCGTACCCCCCTTGTGAAGCCATTGGATACACGCGTTAGAGAGATGTTCTATGGTGATCCCTGGCCACGGTGGAAGAAATACATTTAGGTGATGACTCTCTGTCTCGCGCGGCGACCACATTATGTTCGGCGCACCGAGCGCGCTTCACTCGCACGAGGATAGATGGCGCTCAAGTATAACGGGGCTTGTGAAGGCTTGTGTAGACGGCTTGTGAAGGAAATTATGCATTCCCTACTCGGTCCCTGTGTACTGTGTAGTGAAATGATAGATGTATGTTTGCGCACTGGCACTGATTGCCTTTTCCCCCGTGCTGTTCCTGTTGTTTTAGAGCGCAGCTCTTAGGGGCCCGTTTCCGGCTTGAGCGGCGTCGCCGTCGGCGTCGGCGTCGCCGTCGCCGTCGCCGTCGGCATCGGCGTAACCGCGCGGTGCATCATGGGAAATGTCCCATAATGCACCGCGCGAGCCCCCCACCAAGGTCACGTGACCTCGTGGGGGGTCACGTGACCCCCCGAAGTCACGTGGCCGCCTCCTCGAGGTCACGTGACCCCCGCCGATGTCGCGTGACCCCCCGATGACGTCATCGTCACTGATGACGTCACCGGCATCCACATCGTCATCGTCATCATCACTGATGACGTCACCGGCATCCACATCGTCATCGTCATCATCACTGATGACGTCACCGGCATCCACATCGTCATCGTCATAACTGATGACGTCACCGGCATCCGCATCGTCATCGTCATCATCACTGATGACGTCACCGGCATCCACATCGTCATCGTCATCATCACTGATGACGTCACCGGCATCCACATCGTCATCGTCATCATCACTGATGACGTCACCGGCATCCGCATCGTCATCGTCATCATCACTGATGACGTCACCGGCATCCACATCGTCATCGTCATCATCACTGATGACGTCACCGGCATCCACATCGTCATCGTCATCATCACTGATGACGTCACCGGCATCCACATCGTCATCGTCATCATCACTGATGACGTCACCGGAATCCGCATTGTCATCGTCATCATCACTGATGACGTCATCAGTGACGTCACTGATGTCGTCACCGGCATCCGCATCGTCATCGTCATCA